TCTGCTTTTCTGTGCCTGAGCAATAGAAAAAAAAAAAGGGGCATTAGTTTAGCAGCTGTGCACTTGGTGCCACCCCCACAACCCCAAGTGTAACCCCCCTCCCTCCTCTTCCCAGCAGCCCCCCCATGCTCCATTCTTCTCCCAATGCATTTTCTATAAGAGCTCACACAAAGATGGCACCTGTACATCTGGAATTGCAACTTTTGTCATCTGTTAAATATAGGCACCTAGCTGCTGCCTCCTGGCCCAACAGGGCTTGGGGCTCCCTGAAACATGGAAATTAAATTATTCCTGTGTGTGTGCGTGCATGTAGCCAACATGTTAAATTTGTATCCCGCATACAGAGCATGTTGCTTTATTTTTATTTACCGTTTTACTTTGGGTAGGCAGCACATTTTCACTCCCCTAGAACTGTTGGCAAGTTCACTTTTAATTTCAAAAGCAGTGCAGAGATATTATATGTAAGACTCTTTTCTTTATTCCTGTTTCTTCATTAAAAAGAAAAAGTTCTACATTTTGAAATACGTTAACATGAATATACACCAAAACTTCCTGACCAGTGCTTTTTCAAAAACACTCTTGCCTCTTTTTTTAATTTTGATTCTTGAAGGACAAGTGCATAGCTGATCCATTCACCCCGTTTAAGTGGCCCCCAAGTACAAAATGCACGTGTTTGACAGTGTTGGTTGGTAAATTGGGAAGCTTCCCTCTCACCTTTCCAGCCAATTAGAGTTGAATTTGCGTGGAGCTGTAAAGACTTATTGAAATGGTGATAAGATATTTGAAGTGGTTGCTGGGAATTTTTAGATTTTATTGGCAGTGTTACTGCGCTGCATCCAGCTGAAAAGATAAGGATTAAATGACTATTGATTGCATCTTTTAGATATGAAGGTATTAGCCTATTTTCAAGAGAGTGATTACCTAGAATTGTGGTGTTTTTCGCAAAGTGTCGTAAATTACAAAAACCACTGAAAAAATTGTCAATTTTCTAGCGAGTTTGAGTGGCGTAAGAATTTTGTCCAGAGCTGTAAACGTGCATCTAACCATTATTTTAACCACCAGTGCATTTTTGGATGAGAAAAAAGAAGAGAAGGAAATCCCACAGAATGTTGTTGCAGAATTGTTTAGAGCTCAGGTTCGCTCCAGAAATACTTCTGGTATGTGCAATTTCTTTTTTTTTTTCCTTCAGCGGTCTTTCCTTGCCTGAATGTGCATATTTTCTCTTAAAGTTCATTCATAATGGGACCAGAGTGCTCCAGTAAAGCCAAATGAGTTCACCAGTAGCGGAGTGGGAGGGAAAACGGGGCGGGAGGGGGCAGAGAAAAGCGGGAAATGTGTGTTAGGACTGCGTTGTGTGTGAGTGGAAGGGGGACGGAGGGGCGACGGCAGGGGGAGTGGGGTAGGCACGTCACAAAAGCCGTCTGAATAGAGCGCATAATTGCCTGTTATGCCCCCAGGGCAATGAGAGCAGCGACAGTTCCGGGTTAGATGTCCAAACAAGTAGTGCCCCTAGGCCTTCACATTTATCTTGCCGTTAAAAAAAAAAA